ATACTCCAGGATAAGTTTTCTCAAAAATATATTCAAAGAGCATTGGAGTCCCCTGCCATTAATTAAGTGGCACCCAGTCACTTTTCGGCAGTTTTAGAAGAAAAAAAAATCGAGACTCTTTTGATCATATATATTTCAGAAATGTAAAATGTAGGATGAATTTTGATTTTTATAAAAATTTTTTATGGCTAGATCAAATGATACATTTAAAGATTCTACTTGCACTTTAATTTGGGTTGGTCTGCCTTGGCTAACATTCTGGAGACAAGGTGGTCTTTTTGTCAGCTGAAGCATTAATATGTATGTCATTGCTTAAGTTTGTTAACTTGTATTTTGCATTAAATTACATTAGTTCACAAATATGAATCAATGACTCAAAAGTAGTTCACTGAAGCATAAAATAAATGATAAAAATATGAAGGCAAATACTACAATAAAGAATAATTTTTAAATGAAAATAATAAAAATAATGAACTTGCATGCAAATACAGATTATAAATTTCAGTGTTCTGGGACAAATGAACCTTGAACATGCATTTTTGCAAGCAACCTCCCCTGCCTGGTGTGTCCCTCCTGGTTTCCAGATGAATATCACAATATCATATGGCATAGGATAAAACTTAATTGGGAAAGGTCAAAACTCCAAGGCCAGGATCAGCAAGAAAGAGAAGAGGAAAGCACTATTCCTTCCCAATACTTCCCATCATCTGCGGAGAGGCATGCCAGGGCTCAGGTGACCTGTTATTTTGCCTTTTTATAAGTCAAGTTTTAAGAAGTCTTGTCAACAGGGTAACTACACAGGTGCTTAGCATCAGAAAGTTAGGATTTGGGGAGCCAGCAGTTTATATGAGTTGCCTGGGACAGACAGCTGCCCAGGACATGGCTAGCACAGGTCCCATGAGTAGTTAAATCCCCCTTAACCTGTCATCAATCCTGAGGGCAGTTGAATTTGGGTGCAGCATCTCCAGATGGAAAATAGGTGGAGGTGGGGTACAGTTCTACCTAGATAATTGTTCAAGGTCATTTATAGACAATACTGCTCATTGTGCAACCACTAAGTGGTGGACAATGGTGTTGAACAAGCCAAACTCACTCTTCTGTGTTAAATGTTTTGGAGTTCATTTTTGCTGATTATCAGTCAAGGTAACAGCAGGAAACAGATGGCATAGAGATGGGAATGGAGGAATGTTTAGTAAAGGAGCTATTTATAAAAATTTGGGCAGATATGAGGGAAACCAACAAGGAAAGGGGAAACATCCCAGGGCTAAAAGCAGTGGGGAGCCATCATCACTCCTCGGCTTGAAAGGGAAAAGGGGTGATGACTACCAAAACCCAGAGAGAGCTCTAGCTGTGGGGAAGCTGAGGGTCAGGCAGTGACCCGCAAGACCTTTGGTGTAGGAGCCTGCCACTCCCCATCTACAATCCTGCAGGAGCGGGGAGAATGATGACCCAGACCTCACCATTCCATGCTCCAACCTCCTGCCAACCACAAGTTAGAGGGCAAGGAATGTGGCAAATCCAGATGATGAAGTCCATAAGGGTCAGGCTTCCAGGGCACACTGTCAGTGTAGAGAGTGAATTTAAGGGGCAAACAGGAATGTCCACACGCCAAGGAAGACAGGGACCAGTGGCAACCCATGAGAGGGCAGCTTTAGGAGAGCAAAGGAAGTAAGAGATTGATGGCAGGGCATGGAGATGATGAATAAGAAACCATTTTTTCAATAACCGGAACAGGAAGAAAAGGAACAAGTTAAAAACTATCTTGAAGAGATTCCTGGAGTAGGAAAAGAGAGTAGTTTCTGATTTGGTGAAAAAACTTAGAATTTTTATTAGAAGAACATAAGGATCCACTGTAAAGGGAATAACTGGAGAAAGACAGAATAACAGATATACCACAATGGAAGAGTATAGAATTTTGAAGACAAATTGCAATACTACATGAACAGTCAAAATCATACCAACTGTTTATTAGAAATCATTAACCCTCCCGTAATAATTAGTCAGTCTTAGAATGCATTCTACTACAGTAGGTTTAGTATACCATATCCTAAATGTTTTATTAAGGTTATACTTTAAAACGTTCTTACATAGGACTTAGATTTGGCACTTGATTTTTTCAATCAAGTGGAAATGAGAAGATGAGCTTTGAGGATTAGGTAAAAGTATAAGAAAACTAATTTATTTCAAAATTGATTAGCTAGTGGAATACTTTCTTTGCTAAAAATTAAATGTTACAAATAATGAAGGCAATTAATCACAAATTAAAATGCTTTTAATGTATTTTGCTTTCTACATCTAACGATTTCAGTGTATTTCAAGGCTAAGATACAATGTGTTATCTAAATTCCACCTCCAGAACTTTGTGGTCTCTCAGTACCATTTAAAGGACAAATTGAAGTTTTTCCAGTCTGATCCACTTCAGACTATCATGGGTGTTAGGTTATAGGTTGAAAACCTCAGGAATCACAGTGTTTGAACTACTAACGTCACTAATGGTATTAGTGACATTATTTCATTTATTGTTAAAGAACTTCATTTATAATTAAAATGAGCCTGTAACATAGGAACATGAAGAGTGGAGTAGAAATGTTTGCACATCACCCTAAGACCGCTGAAATCTCACAGTCAGTGCTCATTGCCGTATTCTGCCACACTAGACCATCAATATCCATCAGAATTACCTAGCCCTTTCCTCAATGTTTCTCTGGCATTTAAAAGTATGGTTTTTTAAAACATCCAATACTTGAATTGGGGAAATTATAATAATGCCCCTCTTCGAGAAAATCTGATTCCATTTAGAAAATGTGCTACTCACAGATTTATGGGTGTACAGATTGGAGTACTTTCATTAGAACGGGAGCCAGCCAATCCAAGTGATCAAATTACAGAATGAAGGTACCCTATATTTTGCTGTGATGAGGTAAAAAAGTCAGAGGCCTTTTTAAAAAATAATCGTAAAATACAAGACCCATATGTTTCCTTTTCTCTTGCAGCCCTAAAACAATAAACTAAGATAACAAATGGAATTTTGCAGGCTTTGGTTAGAAACCTTTATCTTCAAAAGAGACCTGAGAAAGAAGATTTAACTGACCTTTCCATGTAAGAAAGCATATCACCTACTGAGATTTGTCTTCCTTGTTGGTGCCTCCGGAGAAAAGAAGTGGGAGGCTAAAAACAGCTTCAACTTGTGCAAATTAAAAGTAACCTTCAGGCTAATGGGTTTTCAACAGCACTCCTTACTGGGCAAAAAAATTGTGCCCCATAAAATTAAATTGCCTCCTCAAAACTGACTTCTCCAATAAAATACATTAAATGCAGTAAAATTGGAATTCCTACAAAACAATTCCTCCCCTCCTGAGGTAACCTTCCCATCACTGTTAAAACTGATTCCATCTTTAACGGAGTACTCCATCTAGTTCTGGGGTCCAAAAAAGGGGTGCAGAAAACCTAAAAACTGTCAAAGAAATGGCAGGACAATTAAAGGCCAGAAAAATAAATCAGATCTTTGAGACAACGAGAGCTGCAGTTTAGAGAAATAAATGTTTTAGCACTTTACCAAATGCTAACTTTAAAGAATGTGGAGAGTTCTTACCTAGCAGATGACTTGCTATTTTCAATTTCTTTGAAGTAGCGCTCAGAAGGAAATAATAAAAAAATTACACATTGTAATGAGTTTCTAAGGTGGTAGTTCTTGTATTAACTCTGGCAATCCTAAAAATTGACTATATTTCCACTAATTGAGGAAGTTCTACTGTAGTCCTTTTTAAATGCTCTTGGAAGTCATAAATGAATTGTTGAATGAATACTCTGTATTAAGAACGAAACCATTTTCTTTAGGAGAGAAAATATCAAAGAAAGAACACTACAGTTGGCCATACATATATAAAATTAGGGACAATTCATGAACACAAGTTGACAGTACAAATTGTGTGCATCATTTGAACTGTGAGACAAGTTAAAGGAAAGGCACTATTATCGTGAGACTATATAAAGCTAGAGTTCAGTTTGGTCTGAAAGGCAATGGGAAAATATGTGGTCCATGATGCAATATTATCCTGGCAGCTGTGTACAGGAATGACTAAAGTCAGGAGAAACATAATACAAACCAATACTAACCCTAACAATATCTAACACTTATAGGTGCCAGACACTGTTCTAAACATTCTCACATATTAACACGTTATCCTCACAGTAATGCTGTGAGGCAGTTATCCCATTTTGCAGATGGGAAAACTGAAGCATTCAAATAACGTCTGATTTTTATAGCAAGTTTTCTGCATATCAACTCCCATACAGGTAAATACAAGCAAAGTACATTTCATTTTCAAAGCAGATATTATCATCCGGGGAGGACTACTCATACTAACTATATCGTTTCTAAATGTTTTTATTATGGAAAATTTCAAACACATATAAAATATAAAGAGTAGTATGACTACCCCCACCATGTACCCAATCTTGATCCATCCACTATACCTTCACTCATTTTCCGTGCCCCTCCGCTCACTATTTGGAGTAAATCCAGACATTAATTCATTACCACTAAATCTTTCAGTATGTACATTATCTATAACAGATGAAGACACTATTTTCTTTCTAAACACGATAACATCATAACACCTTAAAATTACTACAATTCCTTTAGATCAAATGTCAATCAACGGTAAAGTTTCAATAATATAACTCACTTTAATATTTACTAAGAACTTGCTATGTGTTAGCATTAGACACTTCCACATATTAGTTCATTTAAATTGCTGTTATTTAAATGGCATTTTTTCTCTTTCCGTTTTCACTCGTATTAAAAGGAACGAGTTTGTGACTACCGGACGATTCAAAGCCCTTCCGCGGGCCTTCCCTGCAGGCCGCCCCCGCAGCGGCCTCACCCAGCTCGGGTTCCCGCGCGGGGTCCCAGCCCTCGCGCTGGTGGGGCCCGCGCCGCGGCCCGGAAGCCGCCTGGTGCTGGGATCCGCTCCCCAGCCCTGCGGCCTCGGCCCCGCCCCAGTTGCCTAGGCGACGAAGGGCCGCTTCGCTGGGGCGAGATCATGGCGACGTCGGTGGGGACAATTCCCGGGGGGATGGCCACCCCGGCGATGACCCCAGCGGCATCCTCGCCCGAGTCGGAGGTACGTCGCCCCTTCTCGGTCCCCGCGACCCCCGGGGCCCGCGGCCGAGGCCCGTCGCGAGGCGGCGCCGCACGCCCGGCAGGGTGCGCAGGCGAATTGGCTGCGGAGTGGGGAACGTGCCCAGGGCGATTAATGTTTGAAGGCCAGGGATTGGTATTTCCCTTCTTATTTTACCATTTCTCTAAATAAATAAATGAATACATGGTAGGAGGTGGGACAAAGGAGGAGCACCTGGAAATCGACCTTCCGGTTATGGCTTAGTTGCTCATTATCAACTTGTCTTCAGGAAAGTTATTTAAATTCCTTGGGCCCCAGTGGTTTCCTGTGCACAATATTTATCTTTAGGCCCCTCCCAACATCAGCTCTCAATAGTAAATGGATTTTAGGTAGCTTTAATTACTCATAAACTTAGTGTTGTGAGATTTTAATTAAGAACATATCTGCTATGCCAGATATTACCAAAAAATGTTTATATTCTCACATACCGAGTCCACCATGTTGTTCCTATTAGTTTTTTTTTCTCTTCAGTTTTTTAAGGCTATAAAGGTAAATAATAATTTTATAATTAACATTGCTATGCCCAAGTCCCTTGTGCAAGATGAGTATTAGCTGCAATTTTACAAATGAAGAAACACAGCCAATAATTCAGTGCCTTGCTCAGAGATACACAGAGTCGTTCCCAGTCTAGATTCTTTCCATTACTATATGCGGACTGCTAAGGCATGCCGACTCTCCTATGAGCCTTTGAAATTAGCATACATTAAAAACACATTTTAATGTGATAAACTGGTTACTAAACCAGCTACTCCCTTGCGATTGCTAATATAAGTAATACAATTTCAAAAGTGGCATAGGAAATTTCCCAGTAAAATTGTATTATTTAAATATATACAATAACATAATAATGCACAATTGTCATTGTACAGTTACATGTACTTATCCATGTAGATAATGTCCTTTCTAAGAAGACTGATAATTTGGAATCCTAATGAATCTGTACTTTAAAAAAAAAAAGGGAAGAAAAATACCCACAATCTTTCTTTTTTTTAAGACGCAAAGAAGTGCCATGCTCCAGGGGGAAAAATTTCACTTTTTTATAATAGATAAGTCAGATGACTGAGCTAGTTAATAGACCTTAGATGGTCACACTGTCAGTTGGCACATTTGTTACCTTCTTGGAGGAGCGAGTATTCCCTATGACAATTCAGGATATGCTCAATCTTTTAGTAACAAACAGAAGAAATCCAATTGAAACTTGGATTCACTTAGTTGTGCTCAGTTACTAAGATAATCAGTTAATACACTGCATTGTAGGAACTCCATTTTCCATTCTAATGAGAACAGAGTTCCTTAGTTCACAGAGAGGACAGTTGATCCACTGAGCTGTGTCATTCATTATAATGACAAGGTGTGCCAGCTATCCATTTGTGTTGACTGGAGAAGGTTCAGGAGTTAGATCGAAAAGATGGCAAATGCCTCTCTCTCGGAGTCTGTTCCCAAGGCCACAGCTTTTCAGTTAAATGCTGAAGGGTTCTTCTCAGATTAGATTCTTTCCAGAGTTGATCCCCCATGACCTGGTACCTTGTGTCATTTCTAATAAATATGGTATCCAAATTGACTTAGCCAGTAGACCATGTAGTCATCTGAGCCAAGCAGTAGTGAAATATTACTTTTCTTGCCAGGTCTGGTGGAAAGCATAAGCTTCCAATAGTCTCAGGTTTCCCATTTGTTGTTTGTTGCTAGTACCTAGAATAAAAACAACCAATTACCTCAATCACATAGTAGGCACTCAATAAAATATGATATCTAATTAAAATCATAGGTGGTATGACATATGCCAGGAGAGATAGTTATCATAAACTGAAATCTGTGAGATGCTGTGAACAAGCAGACATGAAATGCAAGTCCAGGAAAATATTTTTCCTGTGACATTGCATAAATTCTTCTTGCCAACTTTTGAATTCAACATTCCAGATTCTTTAACATTGGAGTAAATGCCTTCCTCTAAAAGGTAAGACTACACTTTTAGCAGATATCTGTATAAATGCATAAAAACATAAAAGTAACATAAATCTCAAAATATTTGCTTTATATTGATGTGTAAGTGAAAGGAGTTTACAAGTGAATTTGTAAATGAGTTTATAAATGAATACTTAGAATTTAATCATCAATCTTTTATCTCTAGTTTGTTCATAAACTGACTTAATATCTTCAAAAATATTATTTAGGAAATATAATCATTTAGGTAGTATACTTAGTATATTAAGTATTTAATATTTAGTATATTAAAAGGACTGTACTTCAACTTAAGTCAGAGACTTTAAGGAAAATGTAAATGATTATTTCCCACCCAATTGCTTTTTCTGAATAATGTCCTTTAGTATTACTGTATCTCCTAATAGATGACATTTACTCAGTGCATTCGAGGCTTTATCAGCACAGGAGGACACTTAACTAATGTTGAATGGAAAGATGAATGTCATTTGTCTTAGAGATCCTCAACATGTCCAGGAAGAGGTCAATGACAATTCTCTGTACATTGGGTGGTCCCTACAGACCTTGAAAACAGCCCCATTCCATTATTGGCAAATTAGTGAGAAACACTTGGGGCTCATCTTGAGCAGCAAAATGATCAGGTTTCTGTAATTTCAGTATCACTCAAGAGATATTTATTGAAGCCATTCATAGCACATAGTGTAGATCAACCTGTGCAGGGACATGGGAAGGACACCAAAATATCGCTTAAAATATTGTTAAGAAAACAGTACTAACGTACCTAAATATACAGTATATATAGTAGCATTATATACCACAGTAGCATTATATATCAGACACTGAGAACCTCTGAGAATACTGTGTATAGGTGTGGAGATATTAACAAACATTTGGGCTTGTCTGTCTTCTTACTATTGGCCTTTGGGTTTCCTTATTTTAAAAGCTCTGCTGCTTCTCCTCCCTCCAGCCTCACTTTCAGATTGCACAAATAGTCTTCAACTTTTTTCTAATATTTAAAGTTTTAATGTACTATTAGGTTTTAACACAGCTAAAAATCTGTGTTTGACAGATGTATCTTATATACTTAAAATGAGTATCTAATTTTGTTTTCTTCTAGACATGAACCATCAATTTGGTCAGCTTCATTTACTAAATAAACGATCCTCTGTCTTCTTATAGAAAATAGGCTTACTGCCACTGTTACATTGTATGTATGCATGAATGGGCACCAGAATGGACAAAATAGTGGAACAGAATAGCAAATCCAAATGTACACACACACACACACATAAATAAACTTGTATGTACGCATCTTTATATATTTTTGTATCAAAAATATATATACATTTGTACAGTTTTGGATTCTTTATTCTTTTCCACTGACCAGATTTTCTATTCTGTGTCAGTGTCATACCATTTTATATTTAGCTTTACTGTCTAATTTGGAAAAGTCCCTCTCGCTGTTTTTTTTCCAGTATGTATATATGCTTCCATAAGAACTTACAAAAATTGTTATGTAGAGTTCCAGAATAATACAATTCAGATTTGAGATTATCATTGCATTACATTTGTAATGTGGGAGGTGATTAATTTTTTGAATTTGAAGGTTTTCAATAAACCTTTTTTTATCAAATCTTGTTATTAAACTTTTGATAATTTATAATTTCTTTAGGTCCTATACCTTTCTTATTATATTTATAACCAAATATAGTTTAATCAAGTTTTTACCATTTCAATTCTAATTAATTTCTAATATAGAAAAAAGTAAGTGGCCTTTATATATTTATGTTATATCTAACCATCTTATCGAATTTCTTATTAGCTAAAACCATATTAATCCAATGTCAGGTTTCTTAGGTATGCAACCATGTGATCTTCAAGTAAAGATTTTTTTTAATTTCCTCATTTCTAATACTTAAGCCACATATTTAGTTTTCTTATTTTATTAGTTAGAACCTCTGTAGTGTGTTGAACTAAAATTACGTAACTAGCCAAAATCCCTTTATAGTTCCTGGTTTTTATGAGAATGACTTATTTCACCATTCAATATGATATTTCAGCAAATAATTTTTTCATGTTTAGCTATTCTTTTTCTATTCATAATTTAGTGAGAGTTTTGCCACTGAATTCTAGCAATGCCTGCTTATTTATTTATATAATCATATCATTTGTATCATTTAGTTTGGTAGAGTTGTTCATGGTGATCCAACCTTGCATTTCTGAAATTAATATAATTTGGTTACAATGATAGCTTATTATCCTTTTAGTAGACTGCTGGATTCAATTTTGTAAGATAGTATTTTAATTAGAATTTTTGCATCTGAATTCATTAATGGTTTTGGTTTATAATTTTCTTTTTGTGCTAATTCAGATTTTTGTGTAAATACTATATTGACTTCTTAAAAGTGAATAATCTACAATTTGTAGTTATTAGACTTAGAATTCTTGTGTTGTTTGTTAGAACTTCATGTGTAAAACTATTGGGCATGGTGACTTTTAAAACAGACTTCCAGTTTAATTCATGTTTGATCAGTTCCATTTTTTTCTCTTACCCCTTGTCAAATTTGATAACATTTTTTTCTCTTATCCCTTGTCAAATTTGATAACTTACATAGTCCTGGGAAATCACCCATTTTCTTTTAATTTTTAAATGTAATTCCATTTAATGCAACATTTATTTTTTCTTTATTCTTTAATCACATTTGCCAAAGATTTGTCTATTTAATTCATTCTTTTAAAGAACTAGCTCTTGCTTTTACTTATCCTTCTTTCAACTATTTTTTTTTCCTTCTTTTTCTTAAATTGGCTCTTTAGCATGGCCAGGACTATAGTGAGGCGAGTGAGGTACTCTCCTAGGGCAAAATTTTAAGGGATGCCAAAAAATTCAATAATCAAGTTAAACTCTATTTTAATGTAATATTTTTTAAAATCAAAGTTAATGTAAAAAAAATCCATAATGGATCAAAGTTTTAAATAAAGCATTAGTATTACTGATTTCTTTTTTCCCCTTAGCCTCAAGCTCCAACATGGTTCAACACAGTGCTGCTTCTTAGTTCATTTATTTTCAGGCTTGAACAAAGCCTATCAAAGTGTGGAAATTATAGATTACTCTGTTCTCTATGACTGTGAAACTCCTCTTTAGTCATCTTTAGTGAAATGTATCCTTCTTTTAATGAACATGTATTAAGACTCTTTAAGACACTACCAGTGATGGATGCCCCCAGAGAGCTTAAATTCTAGAAGAAAGACACATATACACTGTGGAAGGTTTAGGTGACATTAGATTTAAAAAATCAGAAGAAAGAGATCTGGCAAATAATATGAGGCTTACAATTTCATTGCTTCTGGAATAACTGCTAAAATCCACCAGGTGGTGGAGTAAAATGAGTTACAGTGCAGTTTAGCTAACATTTTCCTGGTCAGAGATGTAATTTTACACAGAAAGCCGGTTACATATCCACATTTTTATTAGCCTATTCATAATTTTCTACTGTATCTTTAACTTGTACAAATCAGAATGTATGTGTTGAACGATTAAAGATTTTAACCACCTTATATCCTTTCTAGTGCAAGGTAGTGTATAAACAAACAAAAAAGAGCTCTAGTTTAAACTAGGTTCAGGAATTCAATTTAAAACAAAGAAAACAAAAAACCAGAGGCAACCTTTCCATAAGATGATTATCTTAAGCTATCAAGTTTTAGTAAAAATGAAGCACTAATATTAGGCATCTTAGCTAGAATTGTTATTGTACAAAAGATTAAGATTATTATAGTCTCTTTCATGTAGTTCCTGTGTGACCTATTTTTTCCTATCCAGAAAAATTTTAAATCTAATAAAATTGATCTGAATGCCTGTATAATGTGCCTTTCATGTATATCTTTATTCATTATTAACAATGATAGCAATCTTGTGCATATTAAAACATATCAAAATGATTTTTTAACATGGATCCAAATTTAGGTTCAAATGACTTTGCTGTAAGTCACAAAATTAATCAGTAGTCAAACCTCACGAGATTTCCAGCTCCAAGTCCTGTTTTTCATCATGCTGCATCACACAACAGTGTCATCATATGATGGAGATGAATTCAGACAGTCTATTAACAATCTATGTTGACATAAGTAGGATCTGCAGAATTCTAAAAATAAGTAAAAAGATTGAGAGTCTGTCCCTAGGGAATTTACAATCTGTACTGAGATTGACAGTACAGGAATAATTATACCTTACTACTACTAATAAAACATATACATAGATATATAATATGTGTATGTACATATACATACATATATATATCCAACAAACATTTAAACAAACATATAGCCATATATATAATGGACTAAAGTGCTGTCTTATCTAAAAACTGAGTGCATTTAATTAGATTACAAGTATCTGAGTGCCTACTAGGTGCAAGGTATTATATATTAAGTACTAAGGTATTTTCGTCTTATTGAGATTATTATCTAATAGAATGACCTAGTTTAGGTTAATTTACTAACCCTAGTTTGCAAAAAAATAGCTAATGAAGTAGCATATTTTATTTCTAAATGAGATTTTTAAAAATAAAAATATAATATTGAATACAAACATTAAGCTTATTGTCATTACCAGTAAGTGTTAGCTTTGGGATTTTTCTAGTCTGGAAAAAGAATAAAGAAAATTTGAGATATAATCTTATTTATAGCAAAGCATTTCTTTGCTTTTATTTATTGGAGGCCATTCACATGGAAAGATACATAACTATTTGTTGAATTGAAAACATTCGCCCTGTTGCTCCCCAAATTACACACAATCCTTTATTTTTGCGGAGCTGCCACTGTTACCTCTGTTTCTTTCTCCTTTCTCATCCCCATTTACAGCTCTTTCTTCCTGCTCTGACTTTGGCCAGTTTCACACTTGTAGTGACTCCTAAACTAGCATCTTTAAATTGGATCTTTCCAAGTCTAGCATTTCTAATTAGCCTCTCAACATTTCTTCCTTGATAGATATATTCCATCATTAACTCAACCACTGAAACTAAACTCGTCATCTCTTCTTAAAACTAGCATTATCTTCCAAAGCTCCTATTTCTATTTTGTGTAACAAGAGTACCATGTATGGTTTTGCAGATTGTACTCTGAACAAAAGAACTCGGCTGAGGCTTGAGCAAGAGCTGAAAATATACTCTATTCACAAGTGGTGCACTTGGGCACAGGGCACAAAAATCAGCCCTAAGACTTTTAGCACTTCTGCACCTAGAGAGGATGCCTTTGTCTAGTTCAGACAAGGATGGTATGTGTGCTCTTGGAGGCCCTGGATATCACCAGCCACCCTTTTCTTCTAGTCACCTAGTCTCTTTTAGTCTCCCATATATAATATGTTGCATTGACCCCTTTTCACTGCTGAGAACCTGTTGCGGCCTAGTGTCTCATTCCTGAACTGTTTTTACAGCCTTTTCATTTAACTCTTCCTCTGTGTCCTTTCTCTGCTGCTGTCTTTCTTTCACCCTCCTACAGATTACCCTTCCTTCAGGTTCCTTATTGCCTGTATTATTAAGAACAAACTCTTCAGCTTGTCATTCTTCAACCAGCTAGTATCTAAAATATTTATGGTTCCTCACACAATATCTTGCATCTTGTAATCATTCAATAAATATTTATCAAATTATTAAATTTAAGATCTCCCACGATGTTTTTCATTAATGACTTCTCCCACTAGTCCTCCACTTGTACCCTAATAAGCACCACTGTGATACTTGATATTTACAAAACTTGTACCTAGCTGCATCTTGGTATTGCTGATTCATTCACCTTGGGCATTATCCATGCCCAGTCTCACAAAAGTTCATTCCTTGTCCTGTCCTTGTCCCTTCTTTTAGACTGAATGCCATATTTTTTTTTTATGGCTCACCATTTTATTTTCCTGTTTTAAAGTCATCCTTGGTTTGTGCCTCCCACTAGATGTTAAGCTTCTTGAGGCTAGGAAGTCTTTCTTACATGTCTTTGCCTCCTTTTGAGCCCCAGATTTAATGAGGAACATGTATGTACATATTCAAAAACATTTTTAATTGAAAACCATCACCCAGTTTTAAATACGCAAAAGACAGATTGACTAGCCATTTGACTTTTCAGAAGAAAGGTATTGTTTTTCAGTTTTTTTTCCTATTGGCAACTAGACTATAGTATAAACAGATTTTGATATCATTGGGATTAATATGTAAAACCTGTAATTGAAATAACTCATTCTACTTTTTTTTTCCCTTTGGTAGAGAGATGCTGAATTCCAGGAACATGAAAAGATTCTGTCTCCAGAGTTTCTTTCAGTTGCCCAAATCATTGAAATGCTAAGAGAGGACATAGATGGAGTTCAAAAGTAAGACTTTCAATATTGCAGCCAAGTATAGAACAGTTTTAGTTCTGCATCTATCTATAAATGACTATGATATATTATTATACATTTTAAACTTTTTTCCTAAATATTATGTTGTATATACACACACGCAGACACTCTCTCTCTCTCTCTCTCTCTCTCTCTCTCTCTCTCTCTCATTCTCTCAATCTCTCTCTCTCTCTCAAAACTCTAGAACATAAAAATTCTCAAACAACTGACTTTTCGCACTTGTCAGTAGTCTTCTTTATGGGAAAAATGCATTTAAAACCAACTTGTTAAGTAGGGATTTATTGTTAAAAGCAGCCTTTTGCTTTTCTCTTTCATTCATAGAACTGTCAATACGCACAAGAACCTTTAGGTCTTCTCATCATGAAAAGAGTTAAGTTGTATTTTCTGTAATATTAATAGTCAATACATTTTATTATTTTGGAAATACAGAATATTAGCCACCCACCTATGATTTTTATTGGATAGGAAGCTATACTAAGTACTCTGATTTCATACCTTTTGCTTAAAAATGTGAGTGTAACTGAAATTATAGGCAATAATTCTAATATATGTACATCTCATTCATAAGACCATTGATTTCTATAACAGATCGTTTACTTAGAACTCTAGTCAGATATATTCAACATGCAAATTTCTAACGGGTGTTTCTAGTAATCACTCATTTTAAAAATCATCTCACTCTAATAATGGAAGCCTGATTGGCTATAATGTGTAGAGAGTGGAGATGATGTGATGTTCTGGATTGTAATGTCCCAGTGTAAGATATCTGCAGGCCAGTTCTCCAGGTGTTAACAGGGTATTGTGAACTGTAATGGACAAATAGAAAATGACTCTGTCAGTGGTTATCATTTGCAGATCTCACAAATATTATGGAATAGAGGTGATTTACTACTGTGAAGGAAATATGACAGATGTACTGGCTGGAAGAGAAATCCAAGAAGGGAAGGCATTAAGAGCAGGTGAATGACACTGACAGGCCTTTTCCCAGGATGCTCTTTGCCCCCAGTGCCTGCAAATCCTGCTAGAAATCCTGATTTGGCTGGACTGCTGACTATCTGCATTTTAAAGTATTAGTCAATAAAATATTGCATTAATTTTTAAACAAGTATTTCATGGTGATTTTACCATTTTTCTAGACATGAATGCTCATTAGGAATTATGGCTTTTAGCGTCAGAATTGATTAGTAAAATGCATATATTTTATTTGTATCATCCATTATTTATGCTTTAAGTAAAATATTATTTTCCATTAGTAGATAATCTCAAATGATGTTGGTCATTGAAGTGAAAAAATAGGTGTTTAATACTAGGCAAAATAATATGATGCCAATGATAGATATTTAATATAGTTTACAGCTTATTTTTAATAAACATTAAAGAAAAGATGTTATATTAAGTTCAATTAATATTAAATAGAAGGTATTGCAAACAAGTGATTTTTAGACTTATTTCTTACCACATCTTGTACTATGTATCATACCTTCTGTGACAATTTTTTAATTTTTTTTTCCAGTTATTGGTTCTCTTTGTTGTTAAATATCTACATTCAGAAATTATTTTTAATCTTTAAGAGGTAAGGTCTAGGACAAAGGAAATGATACACAGGGTGATCCAGAAGTTAGCAGTATGGAAACAACCAGATTCAACATAGTTTGACCTTTTAGACTGTCTTAATAGAATTCACCTTAATTTATCTGAAATTTTAAGACACTGATTTTGGATAAATGACACCAGTGGTAAGTGAGGAGCCATGTCTTTGGAAAGTAATTTTCTTGAGGTTTTTTTAAATATGATTTTTGTAACACTAATCCTGAAATATTTACAGTCATTCACTTTTCACTTAAAATAATGTTATTACAAATGAATTATGTACCTTTCAACATAACAGAAATATGATTTAGGTGTCCTGTCACTAGATGACAGAAGTATACCAAAATCATATAGTCTGCAAAGCCATAAACCTATTTAAATAAATTATAAGAATCAGCACATTTTCCTACCTTTTTAAATTAAAAATTTAAAGCATCCAACAAAAAATTAAAGTATCATTAAAACATTTGTGGTGTACATGTCAAGTAAAGTTAAATGTCTGCGTACATTTCTCATGGTCTCTTAAGTACTATCCTGTTTTAATGTAACCCTGATTTTATTTATGGATCCACCCAAATCTTTTTTGAAAAGAGGATAAACTGAAAATAACTACTTAAACACAGAAATAACACTAAGAGATCTTTTAATAACCTTTCTATAACTGGGCCTCCATCAGCTGTTCAGTTCTTGCCTTAAGGCTTATTTCTGCATGTCATCATATTTGAAAAAATGAAATTCACTCCAATTACAAGAGCACGCAAGAATAATGTAATATTTTTACTAAAATTCTTGGTGAGATAGTTACATCAGATATCTCTGCAGCAAAACTTCCTAAGTCACTATTAAGCATCTTTCTCTTTTCCTTCATTTTCTCATATGACAACTGTGACCATCTCTCCTCTCTCCCTTGTTCTATCTCCTCTTATCCCTGGAGGAAAAGCTTACAAATTTGCCAGTTAGGCATGGAAACTGCATTCAAACCACAGCAGCATCTTGCTAAAATCCCTGCCTGCCTAATCTCCTTTGAGGTGAAATGACTGAGCAAAGAATAGAAATGGTAAATATTTAGCTCTGCAGTTCAAGCCGAAGGTTAAGATTCACATGGTACCAAGGGGAAGAGGTGGAGGCGACATTGGGGAGAGCAAAGGTGGAGGGATATCAGAGAAATTTCACCAAAATATCCTCTGGCAAGTAGCTGCCTTCATTCACATACAATCAAACATTGAAAAAAATAAAAATAAAAGTAAAGAATACAAAACTATTCAGGTAAAATACTTAATTTTTTAAGAATAGCATGGAGGTGGCAGAGGATGAGTACACTTAGAAGGAAGACTGACTGCTGGAAACAGAAAAAAATGTTAGGTAAAAGCCAATGATTAAAGAGGGCATTGATTCCATAAAACAAGAGATTAAAGAAAAAATGATAAAATCCGTAAATAAAAACCTTTTAGAACTAATGTAAGAAATTAAAGAATAAAACTCATCTTGCTGAGAATTAAGCCAGTGATGTGGAAAATGAATTTAAGGAAACTTAGACAAACTGCAGATTATAGCAAGTAGAAGATGTTTGAATATATATACAATATAGCGCATCAGAAAAAAATTAAACTTCATAAAATAAAAGCTTTGATTTTAATATTTAAATTTAAAAAACTTTATGCATGATCTTATCTCTGACATAAAGAAAGTGATCTAGAGGGGAAAATAATCAGGCAGGTCTTAAACTTTTCCTTAGCAACTTTAGGCAGCAACAGTCAGTGGAGTGACAAGTAACCAAATTTAAGGAGTCAAAAGAATGCCATTCCAGAATAAAATACTAACTTGTGTTGTTGCTTTAGTTAATCCAACTGGATTTTACTTTAATGCATTGGGTAGCATTTTATTTTCTATATGGACAGCCAGTTCTCCCAGCCCCATTTTTGAAGAGTTCATACTTTTCTCACAATGATTTGAAATCCATTCTGTCATAATCCAGCTTCCCATATATATTGGGTCTGTTTCTGGGCTTCCTAACTATTCCATTGACCTATTTATTGATTCCATTAAAATACTACAAGTTTTCATTAATGTAGAAGTTTTCTTATTGACTTTCACTTAAGACTAAATGATATTGTACATTAAACATGGAAAAATAAATATTGCTGACTGATAGCCAATGCAAATTGAAGATGCGTGGCTAGTAAGGTAACCTCCCCTCCCCCAGAATGTCTGCCTGTTCATATCTGCATCCACCACTTGAGTTATGTGCTTGACAAAATATATCACTTAGGATGCTTTTAGTTACATGTAACAAAAAAATTGATCATATTGACTTAAAAATAAAGTCACATACAGACACAAATACATGTATATGTAAAATATCAAATAACAGGGCATTCAGAAATAGACTGACTCCAGGGTTGGTTAACTCAAGGCTTCAATAATATCATCAAAAAATAAGGCATAATTTTAGAACTGATTTTTCTTATGAGATGGCTACCAATAGCAATCAAACCTACTTATTTACTCTTTTATTATATTTTTGTTCCACAGAAGAAAATGAACCTTACCCTTAGTTATAAATTAATTAGAATAATTTAAGAAAGTGCCCACCATAAACCAGTAGTTATTGTAGAGAATACCATATATGGCATGGCATTATATGGCATGGTGGGAAGGGGGCTGAGACTACCATGGCTGGCTTAAAAAAATCTGATCTCACTCTAGCATTTGAAGTCTACACTGATCCCACTGTAGATGAAGTGGATGTTAGAGAGTTAGTTTAACACAATATATGCTTTATTTGTTCCTAGACTTGTTTAATCCTGCTGTATTTATTATTCTGATCATATAATTTATATCAGTATTATGATTAATAAAGCTTTCCTTTTTTGCAAATGTCAGTATAAAGTTGTTACACACACATGCCCTCAGAAATCACATGACAAGGAAATACCAATTCCATCTCCAAATAAGGAGAACGCTGAAAGCCCAAACCACAAAATGTGAGGATGAATGCCAGAAGCCTAATAGACCAAGCAGAAGTGCAGGAGAAAGTACTAGGATATACATATTTGAAGATCTTAGAATGAGGTAAAAATATACTTATTTTCCTAGATGAGGAGAAAACCCTGAAATGCCACTCCAACAACCCTTGTTTGCAATAGCAGGGCCAGGATGTACACGTGTGAAGCAGATACTTCCCATATTTACCAGAAATAGATTGTTCATGTCATAGTACAGTGAACCTATCCTACTTTTTTCTTTTTACTCACTAATTGAAAAAAGTGAAAACTAGAATCATTAACACAAGCTTATTTCACATAGAAAATAACTTGTAACATGGCCAGGTCTGAGTACTAAACAAGGAATATAGATACAAAGACATTACAAGAAAAGAAAATTGAAGAATAGGAAAAAGAATTTATAGGTGAAGAAAATACACCAGAAAAAGTATAGCCATGAGCAGATAAAATATATAATCAGATATTTATTATGAATTTTAAGAACTTATGAAGCAGTGATCACAAGAGCATAAAACAGGCATAAAAACTCAAGGAAGAGAGAATAAGAAATAAAAGATGATGTAAAATGTAGAAAAGAAAAAACCTTGCAGAGCTAAAATTTATAAACAGCTGAAGGGAGAATTAACACTGCTGAAAACACTATGGGACATAGAAGACAGTAATGAGAAAAATATATAAAATGAAAAGGAAATCAATTTGAAGGAATTTTGAACGTTAAAAATTACAGCTATAGAAAAAATAGTAAAATACACATAATTGAATTCTTTAAAAAAATATATTTAACAATCTATTTCCAGAACATTGTCAGGAAGAAGAGACTTAATTGTGTAAAAAACATCAAATTTCAGAGAAAAAAATACTAGTAAAGTTAATATACTTCAAAGATGGAAGAAGACCAGAAGAAGGAGAATTAGAAAAGAATAAAGAGGAAGTGGAGGAAGAAGACCAAAAAGAGTTTGCTTGCTTGCTTCCTTCCTCCTTCCTTCCTCCTTCCTTCCTTCCTTCCTTCCTTCCTTCCTTCCTTCCTTCC